AACTCACTCTGTAGACCAGGCTGGCCTCGAACTCACAGAGATCCACCTGCCTCTGCCTCCTGAGTGCTGGGATTAAAGGCGTGCGCCACCACCGCCTGGCATAAACCCTTCTTTAAGTTGCCTTGATCCTGGTGTTTTATCACAGAAATAGAGAAGTAACTAATACATATACACTTAAAGTTATAGGTAGGCCCTCTGTGTTAGAAGCAGTTATACCCCCAAGGCTGCTGTAGACAGTCCAGTGTTAGAGGGGCTATATTCCTGAAGCTGTAGGCAGAGAGCACCCTTTGTTAGAGAGAACAGCACTCCCGAGGCTATAGATCTGCAGCCCTCTGTGTTAGAAGAGGCTGTATGGAGACAGTCCTGTGCTGGAAAGAGCTGCACTTGGAGGCTGTAGGTAGATGGCCCTCTGTGCTTGAAGGGACTTATTCCTGAGGCTGTAGGCAGATGATCCTCTGTGTTAGAGGAGCTGTACTCCCAAGGCCGTGGACACACGATCCTCTGTTTTAGAAGTGGCTGTACTTCTGAGGCTGTAGCTCCACAGCTGGCTGTGTAGTAAGGTGTCCTCTGAGGTTTTTGTTTCCCATGTTCATGGTTACTGTGCTTTAGGTTCCTCACATGGATGTTGGTGCATGAATGGTCTGTTCTTGGGTAGAAACTTGTTTCTGAATCATAGCACCAGTGCTCACTTGCCATCTGTCACAGTACATAACAGGTTGTTCCATGTACAGTTTACTATGCTGAAGCTTGTGGAGATGAGAATGAACTTGCATTATGGGTTTGAGGGCAGAGGAGCTCCAGGAAGCCGTAAGCTTCAGTGTGGCTCTTTTGTCTGTACAGAGTTGGAGCCTACTTGTGTTTGGTTCCTGGGCACATCTTGGGTAGCTGTGTTCACAGCACTTCTGGGTCTGCTGCTTGGATTGTGCATGGAGGGGAGAAGGATGTGGTTGGTTGCCTCTACCCTGGTGAGTGTGGTCAGTTTTACCCTCACTCAGAGCCTGTTGGCTGCTTGGATCCTCTCTTCTCACTTGCAACACCTCACCGAAATACAGCTTTTTCTTTTCTCCCATCAAAACTCTCATGTGCTGATGGCTTACCCCTTTGTTTCTGTCCAGAGCTTCTCCTAGTTTAGTCTCCAGATACTTCTGCTAAAAGTTCTTTGTCATTGTGGGGCAGTGGTGGCGCACACCTTTAATCCCAGCCCTCGGGAGGCAGAGCCAGCTGGATCTCTGTGAGTTCAAAGCCAGCCTGGCTCTACAGAGTGAGATCTAGGACAGGCACCAAAACTACACAGAGAAACCCTGTCTTGAAAAACCAAAAATATAAAAAATAGAGAGTTCCTTGTCGTGTCTGAGAGCGTTGTCGATGGCTGGCACTGCCGCTCTTGCTCTACCCCTTACTGTTTTTCTCTCTGAATTCACCAGAGCTCTATTCTGCACTTGCTCAGGTTAGGACCTCAGCTCACTCCAGATCCAATCATTGTGGACTTCCATCTGTTTTACCTTTAAACGCTGTCTCACATTTGGACATCTATCATATCCACATCTACCAAATCCTCCCTCTGGATTCTGACATTAACGTCTAACCATCTTCCTTTGCCTTGATCTCTCCGTGTCTGCATTTAATTCTCAACTCTCAAAGTTAGTCAGCTTCTGCCCAGTGTTTGCTCAAAGCAACTCCCCACCATGCAGAGAAAGTGCCACACACACACACACAGACTCCACCCTCACCCTGGTGGAGCAAGGACTCAGCCTTCCAGGGCTTTACTTTAGTTCTGTTTTTGTCACTGCCAGTGCCACTGAGTTCCCAGGTCTGGACACAGGTGTTTTGATGAAGGCCCCTTCTGGCCACTGTGTAGCATTTGTCCTCTTTGCCGCTTGGGCTCCTCGGCCTCTTGTATACAGCACGCCTTTTCAGTGGGTGGCCATCACTAGTCCTCCATGTACTCATTGATCAGTTTTGCTTCCTGGAGTTGACTGTGCTATGTCTTCGCCTTCGGCATGTTAATTTTCCACAAAGGCAGAGGCCTGTCCAGTTGGGGGCTGACCCTGCAGGTGCTGAGAAGAGGCTGACATAGCACACACAACACAGGTCAAGTCCATGAGTGAGTGGCGTTGTTTGTGACACACATACATGCCTTTCCATAGTGTTTTAGTCATGGGTCTCTAAAGGATCAGAGCTGAGAGAATAAAATATAGATAGCTGGTACAGTGAAATTGTGTGTGTGTGTGTGTGTGTGTGTGTGTGTGTGTGTGTGTGTGTGTGTGTAAAGGACTCGAGTATTAGAGCATCTTATAGACTGGTCCAGTAGATCAATAATGACTGTCTCCTAAAAGGCCAAGAGTCTGCTAGTTCAATCCGTGCAACTGCCTGTCTCACCAGTCCCAGTTTGGTGTTGGAGTCCCACAGAATTCCTAGAGAGCTGCTGTTCTTCAGTCTATCTTAGGATCCCCCACAAAGTAGGTTCTAATGACAAAGGATGCCCCAGCAACAAGGTAGATGGATTTGCCTGCAGGAGTGAGGGCAAGCAGGCAAAAGGTGAAAGCTCCCTTCCATGTCCTTTATGTGAGTTGCCACTGAAAAGTGTATTCTAGATTTAGGATAATGTGGGAGTCTGCCGAAGTCCAGCTCTGACCTGTCGAAGGGATCTGTGGGGAGGAGAGAAGAATGAGGAAATGATAGATAGAAAGATAGAAAGAGATGATAAGAAAGACAGACACAGGATAGCTTCAGGAGGGCCCTGGGTCAATACCCAGTCACTTCAAGATTTTTTCCAAAGGGCTTTTTATACAATGTCAAGGGGCGAGGCAAAAGACCTCCTTGTTTCAAGATCAAAGCACTCCCTACAGCCAAGTGTAGACCCTTCCAAACACCTGGTAACCACGCTTTGGGCCAAATCATCCCATTATGCAGCCCTGCTGGGTAAAGCAAGTTCAGATTCTCTGACCTTGAGTAAGATCTTACTAGGAAGCCTCTGTGGACCTCCACAGGGTAAGTTCTTCAACATCACATGATCAGATTTAGGGTGGGTTTCCCCACCTCAAACGGTCCAGTCAAAAGAGTCCTGCACAGGTGTGCACAGCTGCTTGGGTTTTAGTTGATTCCAGATGTAGTCAGGTTGACAACTAAGCTTAGCCACCACATACAGGGTCCTTTGGTTGGCTGGTGACACATCTGTGCTAATTATCAGGCTTCCGAGGCTCAGGGCAGATGGCAGGCACTGCGTTCCCTGGTGTGGCTCCACTTGAACCTTCTCTGCACACATTTTGCACTGTTACCCAGGGCCCTGCAGGCTGCCGTGGAGCTGTCATCTTGGTGGTGAGAGCCTCAGAGGCCAGAGTTCTCATGGCACACGGTCCCCAAGCCTGGTCAGAGTGTGTCCCCGCCAGAGCCTGGATGGCAATGGACACGGGGAGAAGTGCTGGGTACAGAGCTTGGTCTGCGCAGCTCTCCTGGGCGCCCACGACCCTCCAGAGACTGGTTTCTTTGTGACCTTGGTTCTGTACCGAACTGCCTCAGAAAAAAGACTGTTCCACCATCACTCTCCAGCCTGTGTTCCTCTGCCTGTGGCTCTGGAGCAGAGAACTATACAGGACCCATTCTTCTGACATCTGGTGAACCGATGCTAATATCTGGAACTTGCTCTAGGGCTGACTCCTCGAGGGACTATCCTAGGCTCCCTTTTACAAACAGTGCACTGTTTGAGATTTAGTCTGGATGATCGAGCTGTTGCTGTGTGTGCTGGAAACAAAATATCTGTGATGGATGTGGAGGTAAGAACGACACCCTGTGGAGGTCCCAAGCACACAGTGGGTGGCACCTTCCAGGCTGGGTTCCTCTTGATGAGTATTTCATTCCTGCTTCCCTTTATAAATGGCAGTTTGGTTCAATGTATTTTGTAAAGATGTTGGGGGCAGGGACCAAAGAAAACTTCTTGATCTTGTAATTGATCAATAGCCACTGGAATCAGTGTTAACATGAATTTGTGCAGGGATACTTTTCAGTAGACACATTTACCTTAGGAGTTCCCCCATAGTGGGTGCCGCACAGTGCTTCAGCTGCCTGTTTGTCAAAAACCCATTTTCCACTGTGACTCAGACTTCTCACTTGTTTCTTAATTGAGACAGTTCATGTAAAAGTCAATGCCTCCTAGGCTGGGGATTTCTAACCTGGGGTTTGCTGAGCACTGGTGCTTGAGCTGTGGTAAAGCTGTGCCAGGTGTTGAAAGATCTCCCTGGAGAGAGAGAGAGGAGCCTCTGCATCCTGAGTTCATGGGAGAGTGCCTGGTGCTTGGGGTGGCTGTTTTACCCAGTGCTCAGGTTAACACAGGTAATCAAGCGCTTTGCCTTCTCTGGCTTTCCTTGTTGTCTACTTTAAAACTCTTAGGTGAGAAAAGATGTCATGAGGTGGTTATCCTAGGCCCTAGGGTATGTGAGACATCTGGGGATACGAAATGTCCTAGTCACTGTTGTACCCCTATGAAGAGACACCATGGCCAAGGCAATGCTTACAAAAGAGAACATTTGACTAGGAGCTTGCTCTTACAGTTTCAGAGGCTTAGTTCATTGTCATCATGGCAGGGAGCATGGCAGCAGGCATGGCATTGGAGCAGTAGCTGGGAGCTACATCTGAGTCCTGAGAGAGAGAGAGGGGGAGGGAGGAGAGGGAGGGGGAGGGAGGAG